CAAAAAAAAGATAACCTAACCCTCTCCCAACCCTGCATGCATGTCAGGACCTTCCAGCAGATGTCAGTATTTTAAGCAGTAAGCTGAGCAAGTTCTCAACAAATTATGGAAGTCTTGTTTTTCCCACAATTTGTTCTGTTTTTTTTTTTTATTCATATACCTGTCATGAAGTGTGGGGGTTAGTAAGGGCTGAAACAATTAATCAGATAAATCTATTGTCAACTAATTTATTAATCGATTAAGCGTTAACTGGAGTATAGAGACTCTAAAATGTGTCTTTAGCTGACAGAGCAACTCACCTTGACCAGCAATTATACCAAAATAGTAAAAAAAATATATATAAATAAACATTTTGCATTTATGATAAAAATGTTTTTGTCATTATGTTCTGTCCTGAACTCTTCAGGCGGAAAAGTTAAGGTTTCACCTGGTTTATTTTGGTAAAAAGTCTTCTTTAAGGGACCCTTTGCTATCTTATTATTAATCTATTAATTTAAAAACAAATCAACAAATTAAACGATTTGTATAATAACCGTTAGTTGCAGCCCTAGAGTTAGCTGTAGACTTCTGCTCAGTTTTGTTGCACTTCACCAGAAAACTTTCTCCATTTTCTCTTGAAATCATGATGTGTATGACTGCAGGGTCTGAACCTTCCAGCTAACCCCTTATTATACAATTGCTAAAGATATTTATAGTGTCAGGTGTTTTCATCATTCCTCCCTGCACATGTTACTTGCAAGACCAACTGGGTGAGCGTACAGCAGTAGATAAGCTCCACTGAGCTGACTGAAGGTGTGAGCCAAGGGTAAGGTTGGTGAGATTACTCTGTTCTCAGACCAAGATACATCATAAGCCTGTTTAAATTTAAACACAAGGTACATTTTCTTATAACGCGTAGAAATAAACAGAATGTTGTGGATTTGTTGCTGATGGTGTATGAAGTCGTTCTTATAAATGTCAGATATTAATGTATACAGGAAAGGTCTTTTTTTTTTTCACTAACTCCTGCAAGATTCATAATAACTCTTAAACATTTTCACACTTTAAATTCCACAAATTCTGCATACTTTATAATATATTTTCAGATAAGACAAAAAACTTTTCAAATGGTTTTACCAATACGATCAGGCTAAGCCATTTGTACGTGTGAACAGGCTTTAGATGAGTCTAGCCATTGCTGTATAGTCACTGTCCTATTAAAAAGTAAACCTGCTCAGAAGGATTTTTATTTTTTGTCTGACCAGTTGCCATCTCTCTGATATAAAGAAAAGCGTCCATGTAACATGATGATCACAAAGATGTGTTGCGAGTGCCATGTGTAGTGCTTGATGCATTTAGGGTTCATTTTTATCGCCTGGAAACAGCACTCTTTTATCTGTTTTACTTTTCATGTTTGGAGGCTTCTCTTTTGAAAAGATTGTGGCACTTACCTTCAATAACTGTTTTCACTTTTCCATGAAACAGATATTTATAGAGTTAACCTCTCACCAGTTTCTCCCAGCTTCTACACTGTTATCAAAGTGCTCTTTGCTGCTCGTCTAATTATTATTATTTTCATTGCACTGCTATCAGTCCGTGCCTTAGTAGCCATGAGCAGCTCTAGACGGGCCCACAGGGACTAGTGGCCCTGTAGAACTGCTCCCGGCCCATTACTGAAAACACACCCTGCAAAACTGTAAATATAAGTAAGTCAATTTTTTTGAAATAGGTGTATTATCCATTGGTTTTAGCAGCTATGTGAGATGATTTGCCAGTGGAACAAGATTTATGTTTAAAATTAGAAAACAAAACAACTCCATAAACTTATTGTGTATTATGATGTGTATTATATCTGATAATCTTAGGAACAGCAATCCTCCTTCTTTTGGCAGATTATTATAGGCTATTTACCTGCAGCTTAGAGGCAGATACATTTACTTTTTAAAAAACCTTTTTTTTTTTTTTTTTTTTTGCAGTATGATGATATGCAGTGACAGAAGAGACAGCTGATTTAATATTTTTCCCTTGCAATAGAAGTTTTTTTTTTTTTTAAACAGCTAGCTTTAATTTTAGATCACTTTTCATCTGTTAGATCAGGAGTCTGCAACATGAATCTGTAGCTTTATAAATTGTTTTATTTTGAAGGAGTCTGCTGTCCATTTCCGCTGGGATGCTGAGCCTACATTCTGCGCATGCGCGTAGGGTTTTAAAGAATTAATTCTGTGTAAGATCCGAAACGGACACACTGTAAAGGCTTTCCGTAGTTTTTATCGAAGAAATTTAAAAACTAGTCTTTGAATTTTTTTTTTTATAAAAAAGGAAACATACGGCAGTTGTAGAGTTGTTGGTTCAGAGTGAGTCCTTCCAGCTCCGGAGCGGCACAGACGCGCTCCCTCCTGTCTCTGCAGGCGCACAGCTTCAGCTGACCCATCCAGAGATAAACTACTGTTTGCCAACAAGTTCTGATGTGGCAAGCAAACTGCAGACGGATGCATAATTTAGCAGACTGGATTTCAGGTTGGTGATTTGTTTCTGTCCTTCTTTTCTGTAACAGATTATATAGTTTCCAACTGTTATAGCCTAACTGTGGTTCAAAATGTATTAAAAACGGATCTCTTTATTTGTGCAGCTTACCAGCAACAAAACCAGCTTAAAATAAAATAAATTCCCGCTTTTTAAAATGTTAATTAAATACTAGAAGCGTGGATGCATGGCGCTGTTCAGGCGCGCGTGCCCATCAGCTGGCGCTGCACGTGACATAAACATAGCAGCCTGTCTGACCTCACGGGAACAGGCAGTGCTGAGCTGTCATTTTTATCCTTTCTTTCATGTAGTCTCCTCTCTTGCAAGCTTATTGTGAAATTTTTCAAATATGATCTAAATATTTACATTTGCCTCCCTGCTGTGGGACACAGTGACAGTGATGGGAGGCTGTGTGGGGAGGAGCAGGACGGATGGACAAGGGAGTGCCCATGGCTCCACAAGGAGCAAAAAGCGAGGAGGTAAGGAGCTGGAACACATTCAAAGACTTTATCTACTGTGATCTCAAACCCAAGGTAATGGATTTGCTAATGCATATTTAATTTTGCATGATGATGCTGTAACTAAGATATAAGATGCCTGCATTATGATGATGTAGGGATGGACAGATTTAGAGAGCAGCTTCATATTCCTGGACCAGTTTCTTTTCAGCAATAGCACTTTGGAATAATTACTATAAAAACAAGATCTATGGCTAGAACAGGGTGTAGTTGTGGGCTATTGTTTACCTGTGCCTTAATTTGATCTCAAATCTAATCTGTAGTAAGGCCTGAAGGGAGAAGTTTTGACTAAACTATATGTAGATAAAACAACATAACATCAATTAGAATACAAATGAAGTGAAAATGTATATTTTTCTTTTTCTTAAACTATTAGGACAGTTCACCTCTGTTGAAGGGGGGTTTCCAAAAAGCATTAGTTTTGTAAAAAAGGTTAATTTTGGAAGAAAGAAATTGTCTTGTTTAAAATATTTACAAATTTGTTAAAGTTTTCTGTGATGTAAATCTGATAACTACGTACATTGTTACCAAAATAAATTTGTCAGCATGGTTTAAAAGGGAAAAAAAGGGGGGCTCCAAAGATCTGCCCATGTCGTGCATCAAAAAGGTTAAGCCAGGCTAGCTGCCACTTCTTCTTGTCCTGACCACACATTGAAAAAATCCCTGTACCTTAGGTGTCTCTTGGCACCAAATACTTTGATGGTGTTTTTCTAAATTTGTCCGGGTTTTTCTTTTCACATGGCATCAGATAGATTCTAAGGTTTTGCTGTTAGGGATCATTGTTCGAGTTTTCCAGTTAGAAAAATGAACCAAGCTCTCTTATTAACCCTAAAAAAAAACATACAGCATGGCCGTCATATGCTTAAAACGTACAGAAATAAATAAATAAAACAGCTATTTAAGCATAACATTGTTATATTTTTTTCATGTCTTCCTGCAAGGGCAAAGTTATGATGGGGCATGTTATTCCTACGTCCAGGTCTCAACTCCAGAAATTAATGAAACATAGGGTCATATTTTGAGTATTTTCTCCTCTCCACTTCTGCTTGAACAACACCTTTCAAGACCAACTTATGTTTTCTTGCTGTTTGGGTTCATTAAAGTTGATCTGTGTGCATTCATTTATATCTTCAATTTCAGATAGGCGAACTTTATGCAACTTTAATCTTGTGCAACTCTACAAAATAACATTTCCGCAAGTCACAAAAACCTCTTCTTTTTGGCACTAAAACCTTATCATGCTTCTTTAAATTCATGCAGCTATTTCTATTTACATTGCAGTGTCCATATAAACTGTAAAGCTCCCTGCATAATTATAATAAAGCAATTTATATGCATGAAACAAGTGGAGCAATATGGCAATTGCCATACTGCTCCACTTGTGAAAGTAAAATCTGTTGGGCTCTTTTTGGCATCAAGACAATTATTCTTATTGCCACATTGCCAGACAGGAAAATGTAAAAAAAAAAAAATAAATAAATGAATAAATTCATGCAGCTCCTGTAAACAGCTGACTGATAAGTTGTTGTTTTTTTTTTTTTACCTCACTGCTATCTGGAAATCTTTTCCCATCTGCAGTTGTCTCTTGAACCTCCCAATCCTTATATTTCAGTCCTGTGTCTGATCTGCAGGAATGACCTCACAGATTAATTCAACACTCTTTAATCCAGTATTTTTCTAAATATCTGCCCATATGCTTGGGAGGATAGTTTTACACTACACATTTAGCTGCAGTGAAAACAGAAGGTTTTCCTACTTGATGCAGGATTTGTATTTTAAAATTATACACTTTAATTTTGGTCAAATGCAGATACATAAACTGTGTGATGAACAGTCTATTTTTCTGTGAATGAAGCCATTTGGGGACATTCTCAGTTGCAGCAGCTTTTCCTTCCAGCAGACTATAGTAGTCTGACCTGAGTTTATAGCCTGTTAATAGCTTTAGTACGTTGGCTTTGGGTATTTCTATCCTGTCTTTAAATAGAGCTGATAGGATTAGGTCTCTTGTGCAAGGCTCTACCTTCTTGCAAGGACACTCAGCTCACTCCCTGAATACAACGAACTTGTTTCTATGAATTGCTCACCTGGTATTTACGGGGTCGTGTGTTTTAATTAGAAGGGTTAAAACAGGAGTAGGTGGTGGCATTTTGAAGCAACTGGGGAAGTGGAACCACCTGGAAATCAGCTCCAAATCTCAACTGAGTCTTTGATCAGAGAGATCAGTGATATTCACCAAAAACGCAGCGGACTTTTAATCTTCCTTGAGGTCGACCTCTGTGACTCATTTTCTCCGACTTTTGGATGAACAGAAGTTTGATTCACAGCAACACTCAGATAGAAAAGCAGTGATGGGAGTGCCTAACTCCAGAGAATGTAACTACTATCATGCTCCAGATGCACCCTTAAAGATTTTCCTCAGAAGTAAGTATTGATTTCATTTGCGATCATATTTTTATTAGTTAGTTAACCCATCTAACGAGTATATTTATGACTGCATTTTATGCTGGTTGTGATACAATTAAAATGCACATCCTGGCCGATCCTTTTCTATTGGATCACACCTTATGTGTCTCTGTTTTAACCAATTATGATCATAAAAATAATTTGGAGACTCAAGTTTTTTATGGATTACTAATTTAAAAGGTCACACTGATGGCTGCAAAACTTTATTTATACAAGTTTATTCAGCTTTTATGTTTTATCAGGTTCTATAAAATATGATCGCTTCCAAAAAAAAAAGGAACAGCAGAAAGATCCGATCTTTTTCGATTTTTTGTTTTGTTAATATCTTTTCTGGGATTGAAGATATAGGCATGCAGTTAAGGACACAAAGTTAAAGTTGATCTAAGGACCTGGAGCTCTATTGGATGTAGTCCAGAAATGAGTGAGGTGACATTTTTCTGCAGCCACTTTTTATCACCTATTCTATTTATTCATTTAAAAAAAAAAAAATCAAAGAAAAAAAAATAGAAAACATTTATCAGTGATACTGTAACTGGACACTCCAATGAGAATAATTGGATTTTTTTTCACTTCATTGTTTATTTCTCTTTATCACAATGTTCCCACTGTTCTTTAATGTGTGCTTTAATATCTCAACGGGTAAAACATTTGAGCATGAAAAGGTTGTGTAGGTCCATTCACCAGAATAATGACGTTACTGGGATGCACAATTTGCTGTTTTGCACTTATTATATAATATCCTACCACATATGGCATCCAGACAGTCTGTTTGTGATTTTACGAATGTATATATAATGATTACAGGATAAAATTAGAAAGACTATTGGTACTATTTTGATTATTTAGCTAAGAGAACATTTCGTCTTCCGTACTAGAAAACTGCTTCTCTAAGGCAATTAGAGTTTTAACTATCACCATGTGATTATTGCTCTGTTAAATTATTTGGATTACAATTTTATACTTGCTGTTTATATAAAGAGAAGTGAGTCAGAAAATAAGTAGGGATGTCCCGATCCATTATTGATATAATAAATTGGTCCAATATATATTAAAGTGCATCTAAAAGCACAGATGCTAATAGAAATAATCCACTTCTAATGTTTATGTAACTCATTGGTTGGTAATGATTGTGTCAGTTGTTCTCATACCTAATGTTGGTAACTTATATTCTCTATTAGATTAATATCACTGGATTTTTTTATCATTCCAAATTACAAAACAAGTATTAAAAGTAAGTATGATGCGTGCCAATATCACATCGGTCAATATTCAAAATTGCAAAATGTTTGGTGTATTGGGACATCCCTAAAAAGTAGACATAAGTTTAATGAAACTTCATCTAAATGACACTGGTAGTTCTTTATGACCAATATATTTTAAAACAGGGAGTTTTATCTTTTGAATATGCTTTAAAAATTAACCCTGGAAACATTCCTGCTGAAGCAGATGTCACCCTTGCTGCCTGCACTGATGTGTATCATTATTTTCCTGATGATATAGATAATAAATGAACAGTGCATACATTGCATTTTGTATAAAAGGCAATAGGCTGGTAATTTCAGGCTGGGCTATGATGTGTAGGTGTGTAAAAAAATTATTTTTTTCTCTTCAAAGTTATACATAAAGACAAGTAAAAGTTTGTTTTGGGTGCTAATATAGTAAATGAAATAAATGAAAAATGTAATAACTTTGCCAAAGGTTTATTTTTCATTACCTTTATTGTTTTCCTTAAAATATTTATATTTATTTAATTTTATTCTTTACAATTAAAAAGCTGCAGACATTTTCCAGTTATCGTTATTATGCAGGATTTGCTGCTTTGCTCTACAATGTTACTGCAAACATTGGTGTCCATATTGTTACATTTGGAGTTTATGGTGTTACATAAAGAAGTGTTACGTAAGGTTTCAAACTTCGCTTTAAAAAAAAAAAAGATATTAAAATTGACTCAGCTTTTAGAAAAAATAAAGTCCACATATTATTTTTTAAGCACATAGCGGGTTTCTTTTTCTACGCACTTGCTGCTGGAAATGGTGGGAATGGGATTTTTTTTTTTTTTTTGCTGTTTCCCATTGGTCAACGAATGCTCAGCTCTCAATCCAATGTCCAATTGGACAGTGGCAGATAAATCCTGTTATGTGGAACCTGATTACAGCCTGTAATCCATTGGTGTGTGTCTGTGTGTATCCATTCACATGTACTGTACTGTACAGTCTCTGTCACTGGCCTCTGCAATAATCCACTGTGCTATAAATAACTAGTTTGATTTCCCACCAACAGTGAATCTAACAGAGTTTATGGCTAATTCTATATCAAACTTATTTTGTTATATCTGGGTGTTAGGCTCATGCAAAACTTTACCATTGCATTTTTTTCAGGATAGTTGACCTCCAAAAACCTGAAAACTGGATATTATCTAGCATACAGAGGTTAAAATAACCACTGACTCATTTTAGCTTCACCAAATATACATAATATGTATTTTTCTTATACCATGTTGCTCTAATATAATGTTTTTGGGAGCTAAATTACATCTTTGCAACTCTCCTAATCAGAAACAAGAGTTTGCTTATGGCAGTGCAGGAAAACAATAACATTACCTAATGCTCAGTGATGCCAGAGGTAATGGAAAAGAGCTTAACTGTTTTTGGATCAGTCATGACGCGGGTCACCGTTGTAGCTGTCTCTATACTAAGAAATTGTTCTTGGAGGTTTCTTTCTAACTGCACGGCTTTATTGCCTTTTAGATTTCTTTTTAACTATACAGTGTTGTGTTGAAGTATTTGTTCCCATTGATCATTTAGTCTCCTTAGTATTACATATTTAATTATGTTTCACCTGGATCCCATGTTACAGAGCAGCACAAACAAGTGCCCAGCTGTAAGGTAGTGAAAATGTGGTCATCACTTATTAATCATATGATTTGCAGCATGGGTTTGACTCAACACAAAAGGGCTTTATTAGGTGGCTTCTGAAAGCAAACGTTTGCTTTAGATTTTATTTGTAGACTTGAAGTGAAGTGGCCTCAATACGTCACACTTTTCTATACTTTGACTCATGCACTACTTTTTGTTGGTCTGTCACATAAAATCACAATAAAATGCATTGTATATAACAGCACCTTTACCAAAACCTAGTCTGCAAGTGAGCTAAGAAAAGTAGGAGTATACTTTGAAATTGCTCTTAATGCACTTACCTAATTTAATTTTACCTATACTTGGCGTATACCAAAACTCGAAGTATACTGTAAACGTTTAGAATTTTGTAGTACTTTTTCGCATTTTGATTTATCTGTGGTTTCCAGCAGGATCCAGTCATGTTTGTTTTTTGACAGGTCAGTCTTTTATTTAGTCCTCCAAGCTTTGGATCAGAATTAATTCAACCTTCTTTTTACTATATTTTCTACAGCTCGCAATGAGCCTCTCAAGAAAGAGCGTCCTAAGTGGAAGAGCGAGTACCCGATGACAGAGGGCCAACTGAGGAGCAAGAGAGACGAGTTTTGGGATACAGCTCCGGCGTTTGATGGACGGAAAGAGATCTGGGATGCACTTAGAGCTGCAGCTCTGGCTCTGGAGTGCAATGACCTGGAGCTGGCTCAGGCTATAGTGGATGGAGCCTGCATCACTCTGCCACATGGTATGAAACATTCATACAGACAATTTTCTATATGAAAACATTGCTCATGGTAAGCTCTAGATATACTGAAGCTCCCTGGTTGAGTCGTATTTATTCTCTCAGTGCCAGAGAATCCCATGCCTGATGAGAAAGAGATTAATGTTGTAGTAATTATGTAATAGTAGCATTGCTGCCTGAACACTAAAACCAGACTGATTCCTGCAGAGCTTCAGGATAAAACATGGTGTGCTGCCTCAGAGGAGACGTCCATCTCTAATCTTTACAATCTGTTTCATAGTTTTGTATTTATTGGGGTGTTTTCTTCTTTCCAGGATCTCTCACAGAGAGTTATGATGAACTTGGAAACCGCTACCAGCTCCCTGCATACACTTTAGCACCGCCCATCAACCTCATCAATGAAACATCCAGCGAGAGCAAACAGTCTGAAGGCACACAGAAACAGGCTCAGCCTCCAGTGTGCAGAGAGGAGTTCCAGCTGCGGGTGCGGCTATCCACAGGTAATGCCACAAGATGTTTATAACTGGAGAGATTGACAGTCAAAACCAGTTATTTGGATATGGATTCCTAAAAGTGAGAAGTGCACATTCATTGTCTTTAAACAGAAAAGCCCAAATGATGTCATGGCTTAGGGACTTTCTGATAAGTTAACCCCCATTGTTTGATTGAAATTAGGGAAAACCTGGGACAACACCTCAAATACAATTCTCTTATCACTGGAAAATCCAAATAATTCTGCCAAGATATAAGATAAAAGGTAAAATGCCCAAATATCTGACGCAGCCACTTTATTGCGATTATGCAAATAGCAAGAAAGTCCAGGCAGCATGTTGTTAGGTATATGACAGGTCACATGTCCCACGAAAACATTTTTTTTGTCCAATAAACAAAAGTTAGAAACCTCCTGGTAGCACTGGGTGAAGCCTTTAACCAACAGGGACTGAAAAGCCACTCAGTGGTGAAGAAGTCGTCACTCCTAAATAACTAAGTAAACTAAACTACACAAAGAATTAGCTTTTAAAAACATTTCTAAAATCTAAAATAGGCTATAATGGAAGCTTTTTTTTCTTGCTAGAGTGAGTGGTGCTCTTCACAAAATAGATACCGTTGTGATGAAATAACATTATGTGGAAAAACTGAAACATCTTAAAACATCAACCAGTGTGTTAAAGCTTAGGAACAACTCTTTTAGATGGACAATGATCCTACTTATACCATCAGTGAGACACAAAGTAACTTAAAAACAACAAAGTGAAGTCTTTTGAGTGGCATCATAAAGCACTGAGGATAGATGGTCTGTGTCAGAACTTTAAATGCGTGTGAGCAAGGAGGCCAATTAAGCTGACAGACACAACATAAAATACTTCCAGAAGCTTGTAGAAGGTTATTCAACATATCTAACCCAATTTGCAAAATGTAATAGAATCATTTCTACTGAATACCAATGAAACAAAAGTAAACTTCTGAAATTGAAGTAACTTGTTATTATTCTTGCATTTAGCAATTCGAAATTATATGCTTGTATACTAATTTAAATATAAATGAGAGGAAAAATAGAGGTATTTAAAATGATAGACTTTATTGATCTCACACTGGAGTAAAGTATTTCTGATACTGAGAAATGTACTTGTACATATATATATATATATATATATATATATATATATATATATATATATATATATATATATGTGTATGTATATATATATATTTAGTTCTTGCAGTGAGTATTAAATATAAACAGGTTATTGCACATGGTATTAAATAGTGATTGCACATCACAAGTTATTGCAGTTATAGTGCCGCATAAAGCGGACATCAGGTCTCATCTGAGAACTAATAAAAAGTTTCTCCCTCAGGGAAGGATTTGCGTCTGACGGCCAGCCTGGCAGACTCCATAGCTGTGCTGAAGAAACAGCTGGAGAAGCAGGAGGACATCGAGGTGATCCGCCAGCGGTGGTTCTTCTCCGGGAAACTTCTGACAGACAAGACTCGTCTTCAAGATGCCAAGATCCAAAAAGACTACGTTGTCCAAGTGATTGTTAATGTTAATCCTTAAGTCATCCCTAACTGAGGGGTAATGAAAGATAAAGGATGTGCCAGAGAAGTCTGCAGGAACAGGAGCAGGTTTCCAGCAGGAGAATTTTATGTACATTTTATATATTAAATTATTGCTTTTATATTGCTCCTTTTTCTATTTTTCCTTTTTTTTTTCTCCAAATAAAGAGATATTATTGAAAAGCACTGAAACACTTTAGGTGATGTTAGAGCCCTAAGATGCATATCCCTGTATATGTCTGTTTCTGAAGACCTCGACTTGCAGCTCTATTGTTTACATGAGTTCCTCTCCTTGTCTTGTTTGTTTGTACTTACGCTTGTTATTGAATTAAAAAAAAACAACATTACAGTTAAGAAGAACATACAAGGAAAATCTACTGTTTCTTTTTGGACAAACAGATGTGCAATTCTAACAATAAAAAATTAGATAGTCTTGTTTGGTCATTTAATATCGCTAAACACTACAAAGACACTGAGAATGATAAAGGAGCCTTTTATTAAGTAGGTAGGTAAATAAATAATTTTTGGTTCATCATTTCAAACAACTGTACAAACAAGCAGTAGTTTTCTGTCGGAAAAACTAAATATACTAAAAATAAATGTTATACATTTAAACTCATCTCATGGTTTTGTAAATTTACTTTAGTTTATTGACATAATTAAATGTAAATGTTTTTGATGATCAGATTATGGCAGAACACAGCTGAGCAATGGTGATGATGAAAATATAGGCAGATTTATGATGATGGAAATGAGAGATGTGCTGAAGATGTTACAACCTGTCAAAAGTCTCACTGACAGGTGTAAAGAGAACTAAAGCAACCTTTACAGACTGCAGTCTGTTTGTAGTAAACGTCTGAACATGCATCTTAATTAGCGGATGTTTTTAAAATTGTGTCAAGGCTATTTATCTAAATACCTCAAACTACTTGAAGATATAATTTTGTATGGAGCTCCAGCTCTTAAATCAACGCCTGATTGAGTTGAAACCTGGTTTCAGACCAGCATAGTTATTATGGAGCCACTAGACCTCACATTGGTTAAACACATTAAAGACATTCAAGCTTTTAAGTTCATACTGGCTAGAAAGAGGACAAACTTTATTCAACAGAATATTGATATCAGATTTTTATTACCTTTGAACATACTGAAAATTGTAATACCAATGATTATAATGGCTATTTTGTCTTGACTCCTGACAGCTGATTACAAGATCACAGCTTTACTAATAGAGAACTAATATTAGTGTATCCAGATGGGGTGACTATTTCAGTTTTCCCTCTTTGTTTTGGTAGCCCTTTGTAAATACTCTGTAGTTTTATGATGAGGCTTGGTCTGCTAACACAATTACTCATTGTAATTGCATTTAAAGAACAAACATTGTAATTGCATCAAAATGCAGGGAGTTATCACCATTTTGTTAAGTTTTTATAACATTCCTCTTTTTAGTTAGTATATACCATCTATAATAGCTGCCACTGATTTAACAGTTGATGGATTCTTTTGTTTTTTGTTTTTTATCGTTTCTTATAGCACAAGTGGACAGTCAGTGTTTGTTATTTCTCAGTTTTTTGCTTGCAAAATGTACAAAAGTGGAATTTATTTGTCTGTAATGTGTCGACATAAACCTCAACAGTGACGTAAAATCGTAAAAGCGTGAGACCAGTTTTCATGTTTGTGGTGAATAGTGCCATCTACTGGCCGATCATAATAAGGTCCAGTCAGAGCCTTGAACGGTGCTGTAACGTCATCAGATGAGCGACAGAGTCCTCTGGAGGTCCTCGGTCAGCCGCTGGGGGGAGGAAAGTGATTATTCTCAACCCTGAAAAATGGTGAAATCAGGGAAACTTCGCTCGGGGACCGGGTCCAAGCTGAAGCGGTGGAAGAAAGGACACAGCAGCGACTCCAACCCGCAGACCAGCCGCTTTCGTCAGGCGGCAAAAAGCCGCTTTTTCAGCAGACCCAGTGGTAAGAGATGCACACGTGGGTCCCTGAGAGCTAACATCAGCTAACTTAGATAACTTTATCTGCTGGCATGTTTAACAAACACTCAACTTCACACATTTAGGACAGTTTCTTCTAGACCTTTCTGTTCAGTTCGTCTCTTACTTCGCAACACATAGGTCATTTGTTTGACAACATCAACTTTTTTTTTTTATGAATGATTGCTCCAACTGATTGTTTTTACAAAGAGGTAACTGACTGTACATTCTCTACAGGTCTTATCTATCTATCTATCTATAGATCTATAGATCTGTAGATATATATATATATATATATATATATCTTCAACAACGTTGGAAAGACCGTAAAGCATACTCAAACACAGATATACTGTGTATATATATGTGTATGCTGTATATATGTGTATATATATATATATATATATATATATATATATATATATATATATATAGTAGGGTTGTCAAAAGTATCGATACTGAAAAGTTGTATCCGGATACAATACTGGTTTTTAAAAGTATCGATACAGTGCCACCAGCAGTGGCACCGAAAAAGTCATTCATCTTATGCGCAGATTAGAGGAAAATGCACTTTCTGAACACTGTGTGATTGAATAATTCTGTGCACTTTTCGGTTTCAGACTTTTTTCCGTAACAGGTGCAGCTGCTAAGAATTATTTTTGTTTTTTAACCGGTTTGGCTAGTGTCATTGTTATGTGTGCAAAGCATAGCCAAGGAAGGAACACTTTTAACACAATTTTAATTTTATAGGTTTTTTATAAAGCTTGCTTAATATTGTGCACAGCATACAACCTCAAAATATTGTTTATCGTATTTATTTATCTATTTATTGTATTTTGTTTATTAATGAAAAAAATTCAGTTGAATTTTGGAGTCTTTGTTTTTATCCTTGTGGTATCGAAAATGACATCGAGTACCGAATATTTTACTTAGTATCGGTATTGAGTTGAAAAGTTTAGTATCGTGACAACCCTAATATATATAACAGGTCCTCTAAGGTATAGTGGAGTAGTGAAGGCTGTTCTTTTTCTGGGTGGATCATCAAAATAAGTGGTCGTCCTAACTGTCAATCATTCTGGGGATATTTTTACATAAGGCCGTCTTACGTGCTTGTCCCCATTTTCATTTACCGGTGCTGAGTCTGATATTGTGGAAAAATTGCAAATCTTCTTTTGGAAAGTAAGCTTCTATGAGCGATGAAAACAGCCACTTTTAAACAGAGCGTGCATGAGGAGAAATGGACTTGTGCGCGCTCTCGCACATGTTTAATAGGCGTTCCCCCTCGGGAGCGAGTACAGGGTTGTGTATTTGCCTTTTTTTTTTTTAAGTGGAACTAATTCCATAAATAGATGATTAGCTTCAGTTTTGGAGTTAAGGTGAAAAAATTGTCTTTTGGTTTCTTTCCACAGCAAAGAGTGATCTGACTGTTGATGCTCTCAAACTTCACAATGAGCTGCAGGCCGGTCCTCTGGAGCTCAGTACTGGGGCCCGCAAGGATACTCAAATGGAGGAGGAGCCAGATGAGGGGCTGTCAGAGAGGACGTCCGGCACCTTTCTGAGCGGCCTGTCCGATTGCTCCAACCTTACTTTCAGAAAGGTGCAGCGCTTCTGGGAGTCCAACTCGGCTGCACACAAAGAGGTAAGGACCATGAGTTAGGTTGTGTTGTTCAGCCTTCTAAGAAAACCCATGCCTACTGCAATTTATTAGCCTCTGCAAACACAATATTTTGTTGCAGCTAAATATCTGCTTCTGCAGTAACTGTGACCTTTGCTGCTTTCCAGATTTGTGCAGTCCTGGCAGCTGTTACTGAAGTGATCCGAAGTCAAGGTGGAAAGGAAACTGAGACGGAGTATTTTGCTGCTTTGGTAAGGTGGATGGTCATAGTTTGTTTGCAATACTGTTTTAAAGTTAGTTATCTGCTTCTTTTCTAATGACTAATATTTTTGGTAGATGACCACCTTGGAAGTTGTGGAAACAGAAGAGTCTCAGGCTGCAGTGGCCTATCTCCTAAACCTGGTCATGAAACGGTAGAAACCACAAAGTTCTTTGTTTTGTTTGTTTCCATGACTATGATGTGTGTCCTAACTGATTGGTATTGACTTCTCTGTGTCTCTCACTCACCAGTGTTCCTGCACCAGTGCTTCAGTCTAAATTCTCGGACACCACCAAGGCTCTCATGGATGTCATGTCTAAACAGGCCTCATCCGACACGTCTTCAGCGCTCAGATGGGTTAGAAGAGTTTCAGTTTTTTTTTATTTTTTTATTATTCTTTTGATCTTTTCCATTCAGATTATTTTGAAACGTATATCTGTTTTTTTTATTTTTTATCTCCAGATCTTGTCATGTTTAGCCACTTTGTTGAGAAAGCAGGATGTTTCTGTGTGGAGTTACCCGTCTACTTTGCAGGCGTATCACGGTCTGCTTAGCTTCACGGTGCACAGCAAGCCAAAGGTCAGTCCCACTATTCTAGGTGTTTGTTGCAAGTTCCACACATTTCTAAAAAGCAAATATGTACGTTTTATTTATTTTATCCCCCCAGGTCCGTAAAGCAGCTCAGCAAGGCATTTGCTCCATCCTTCGAGGCAGTGACTTCCTTTTTACTGATAACGCTCCGAGCCATCACCCCGCTGCAGCTACTACAGCCAAATTCTGCATAAAAGAAATCGAGCGGGCAGGAGGTGAAGCATCATGGCTGCTAATTCACTTAATAAATAGAGAAGAAAGTTAGCTTCTCAGAATGAAAACATACTAAACCGTGATGCCAGCTTGGACATCATGCTGAATGGAAGTATAGTTCAGTACAACAGTACAGTTCAAAGCTAGTTAAAATCAATAAATAAACAAATATTTTAATCACTTATGCGTTGAATTTAAAAAAGGCGGTAAGATGGAGAGATGGGTCTATTGGAAACATCAAATACTTCTTTTGAAGTTTTTTCACTTCATTTACCCCAAACATTATTGGATTAAATAGATTTTATTTGGGTGGGTGGTTGATTTTCTCTAGCAGTGGCAGGAGATGTAAGAGAGTTTGAGTCAAGATGGATGGAGAGAAATACAGAATAATTCAGACTGGAAAAGCAGGGAAAAAAAAAACCTTCAGCCTGTTTAAAACATAAAATGGCGTATACAGTTATGAAATAATCTAGCAAATAAAATATTTTTAGAATTTATTGAAATGTACAATGCGACAAAATCAGAACCATTGGCCGTAATGAAAGAGGTTTCTAGATGCCTGCAGAAAGTTTGTTCCAGATGTGTCTGATGATCCATAAATGGTGTCGTTTGTTTCTCCATGGCAGGCAGCAAAGAGGACACAACCACCCTCCATGTGCTCTGCCTCCTGAAGGAGCTGATGGGAGTGTTTCCTCTGGGAGCCGTTAAGTCGTGTTGTGAAACTCTGCTGCGTGTCATGACTCTCAGCCACGTGGTGAGCGCTCAGCTTCTATCATGCGTTTCTGAGTGTTTAAAGCAATTCTTTAAAATGTGTGTGTATATATGCTGTAGATGGTGACGGCCAGCGCCATGCAGGCCTTTCATCGACTCTTCAGTGGGAAGCCGAGCGCTTCATCCCTCTCTGCAGAACTCAATGCACAGATCATCACGGTAAGACAAAATCTATCAATATTCCTCCGTATCTCTGCTTAAGACTCATCCTAAGTCGTCTTCCTCAGGCTCTTTATGACTACCTTCCCAGTGAGAATGACCTACAGCCTCTGCTAGCCTGGCTCACTGTCATGGAGAAAGCACATGTTCACCTAGCAAGGTCTGTAGATTCACAATGTGTTGGATTAGAGAACTAATTGGTGGGTGGCTGATCTGTATTGTGTTGGTCTGGTCCAGTTTGCAGAGTTCTCTGAGTTTAGGTCACCTCCCTCGGCTGTTCTCTGCTGCCATGTCCTGCCTGCTGTCCCCCCACACACAGGTGGTTTCTGCAGCCACCAACACACTAAAGGTAAGACGGCCAGAAGCAGACTGCAGTGATGTTTCTATCGGGTGCTGATTGGTTATTTATGTCTTTGTGTCTCAGACTTTGTTGACTGAATGCGTTGCTCCTCACATGGGGGACATGGGGATGATCACTGCTACAGCCTCTGCAGGGAACCCATCATATGTCTGTAAAATGTTTCGGTAAGATTACTACTAGACATTGTATTTCGGGAGTTTTTTTACTCATAAAGAAACATAATAATTGTTTTTATTTTTATGTTACCAGTATCGTGGAGGAAGGATTATCATATCGCTTCCATGCCTCATGGCCCTTTGTGCTCCAGGTCCTCGGTTGCTTTTACAGAGCTGCAGGGAAACAAGCTCATCCCATCATGACTAAGGTAAAGTTTTCACATATTTAAAAGCCTTATCCAGGCAGATCAGACTGAGACTAACTCTCCTTTTTTGGACAGTCCCTGCAGTCCCTGTCAGACCTGCGCGCCACCCCTCAGTTCCCGTTTAGCGGCGAGCTGGACCTAGCTGTAGGGGGCGCTGTGGAGAGCATGGGGCCTGAGGTGGTGCTGGCTGCTGTGCCGCTCAACATCACCGGCTACAAGTATGATCCCAGAGATGAAGATGCTCTGCTCTCCCTTTGCTCTGATTTTTTACTAACTTGTGTTTGTTTGCTACCTAGTGATGATCTGGAGTTCCCACGCAGCTGGTTGGTTCCAGTGATCCGGGATCACGTGAAGAACACCTGTCTCGGTTTCTTTGCTTCCTACTTTCTCCCTTTGGCCACTACACTTAGGCAAAGAGGTAAATACAGTTCCTCTTCTATAAGCAGGATTTATTCATGCTTTTTGTTTGTGTTTTTATAAAGTTTTAACCTCAATTTACCAATTCTAATTAATTGATATTTTTAATCTCTCTGAAAACAAGCTTTATGTTTAGAACTAAGACACTCAGCTTTCAGGCATACACTTCAAACTACACATAGCATCCTTTATCAGTGATCTGTACAGCCTATTTTCTTTAGAATATAGATAACTTATAAATCTGCTTTGATGGATAAAGGCTGGCAGGCAGACAGAGAGCTGATGTCTATAAGCTTTAGAGGTGCACTGATTGAAGTCCTTTTCCTGCCATGACCGAGGCAAAACACCTCCTTTTAAAAAGCAGTGAAGCAGGTCAGACAACTTTGTCACCCCTTTCTAGTTTTTTCTAAAGTCCTCCCCTCATAGCAGGTAGAAAATGGGCAGCAGTGCCTTATTTTATTTTATAGTTCATAATGTGTGCTGTACAGGTATTCAGCGCTGCTGACCTCATAAATAAAAAGCTAAAATGAGCTAACTTATTTCACAGTAAAGTGGGCCTAGACTGTTGTGTTGTTTAGATCAGTCAAGCAGAATAAAGCCAATTCTCAGTGCATCTCTATTTAAAAGAAGGTTGACGTTTTAAATACAATGTTCTGTTTTTATAAGCAGTAGCTGACTAACCCTGCTTTGTGCCTTAGCTGAAGAATTGGAGCAAGAAGGAAAGAAGCTGGAAGCAAAAGTCTACCAGACGTTACAGCTTCAGGTAAAACACTAACTACTTCCATTATTTATGGCTTTAGCTGATGGCATGACAAGGGCAAATATATTTGTATTGGTTTTGTTTTCTTTCATTATGCAACACATCATCGTCCACTTATCCTTTACGGGCTTATATGGGCAGAGATTTCCAGACTTCTCTCTGGTTAGCAGAGTAGATCCGGTTGTATTGCATGGACAAAGCAGTTCAATCCTCTCTTCAGTCTGCTTTAGTTAAAAAAAGGTGGCTCTTCTCAGTACACTTGACCGAGGGTAATCCATGGCTCTACAGGCAATCTGGTCTACCGGCTCCAAGCTTTGTCTTAGAAGGGAATAAAGGGATAAAGCGGCTTTCAAGCAAAATGCGGCACCAGAAGATTACAGCGCGTCAAGAACCACAAACATTGAGCTCAAAAAATTCTGTTCCAGGCGGACACAACATTTGTTAAAGATATGCTCTCTGTGCCTTGAAGCTGTTTCTGAAAGAAAAGGCACCCGGGACAAGCTCTTTAAGTAACACTTCATTACTTATATGTATTCAATAACCATGAGACACAACAACAGATTCTGATAGATCTTAGTCAGATCAGAGACGTTTCTTAGCAGTTACAGAAAACAGCTGCATACGCCCGGGTTCATTTCTTGGGAAGTGGCCCCCATTGGGAGTCCAATCTGAGGTTGAGTCCAACTATTGTGTTGATCAGTTTGTGATTGTTGGCAAAACGGCATCTAAGGAACCAAGGAGATAAAAGGAGTTTTACAACAGTGCAGTGGAGAGGAACAGCTTGCATTTAACAAAAAAAAAAAAATCCAGCAGATACACACCAGAAGGAAAGAGAGAGAGAAAAAAAATCTATCCTTGGTCCAACATTAATAATAATGTTATAAAAGAAGTAGACGGACTGACTGACGGATGAAGCCCAATGAATGGTTTATGAAAGATGTACAGAATCGTTCTATGATAAAGGAGAACCAAGCTGGTGAAAACCAAAGACATCAGATGCTTCTTCAATGAATTCATCCAGAAAGTAGAATCCTGCTTAACAAAAAAATCAAGTGATGCTGATTTAAGTTCTGAATTTCAGATTTGGACGATGCTTCCTGGCTTCTGCACAGGCCCAGTGGACCTGATAGCATCGTTCAAGGGCATAGCCCGAACGCTTGGCATGGCCATTAACGAACGGCCAGACCTGCGCCTCACAGTGTGCCAAGCTCTGCGTACGCTGATCAATAAGAGTTGCTCCACAGGTAGAAAACCTTCACAGATGTTTCCTTTATTTTTTATCTACCAACTGCTAAATCCTGACTGTAATAAAATCTTTACTGTGTCCGACTGTTATAGCGGAAGAAAAGGCAGAATTGGGACGGTTCTCCAAGAATTTCCTGCCCATCCTTTTCAACGTCTACAGCCAGCCTCCTGCAGAGGGCGACTCGGGTTCCTACAGGATGGCTGTGCTGGACACCATCAAAGTCTATTTAACCATCACTGACATGCAGGTAGATTTTGTTCTCTGTCCTGATGAAGAATGTTTGAAATGATGATGTTAAGGAAATGGACACTGACGTGCTGCACGCTCCTCAGCTGATCTGCACATTCCTGCAAAAGGCGTCTGACAGGCTGACCAGCACGGAAAGCACCGAGTTCACACGGTAGGACGTCTAACCGGGACCCGCTGAGTGACATCATCAGTCTGGCTCTATTGTTCTGATCGTATCTTATTCCCAGGCTTGCAGTGATGGATCTTGTGGTTGCCATGGCTCCCTTCGTAGATGAAAGCACCATGGCCAAAACCTTTGAGCTGACAAGACCCTATTTGGAGGTACCCCCATTGATTAATGGTGTATCTTAAGATAAGAAAATAATAAAAAAGTTATTTTATTTCTCCTATACTCCTATATATGAACTCCTATACGTTCATTACACATCAACTGATGTATTTCAAGCATATGATTTTGTTAGGTTACTTATAAATCATGAAAAGCCACAGAAAATGTAATAATCAATAAAAGATGTTAACCTACGGAGATAAAAAGATGACAAACAATTCAAGGAATAAAAAATTTTCTTAGTACCATATAAAATCTCATCTTTGAACATGCTTTTTGAACAGAATCATAGATCCTAGTTAGATATGGGTGCAAAAGAAGGAAAATAAAATAATCCAAATATAGTACATTTTGACAATATTTAAAGTTTGTATAAGGAGTTATTGTTTTAATGCGCAAATAATCCAAAAATCCAAAACAAAGGCATAAATATGCATTTCTAAGTTGGTTTTATATACGGATACAGCGTTTTAAGCATCACCAGTATATTTTGACCTTACTGCTTAGAGTTTGTCCTCAGTACTTGGTCAGGGACCCTAATACTTGGATTACTGCATAAATGCAGAGTGACATGGCTCTACTAGACCTCAGTGGCTCATTCATTTTTTTCTAGTATAGTTAAAACTACAGTGTGTAATAATTACAGGGATAAACAGTCAGAAATGTAATATATTATACATAACTATGTTATTTA